TCTTATCTTAAAGCCAAGAATACATCTGGTCATACCTAAATATTAAAGTGTGATCCAGTAAGATCTCAGGAGCTAAGCAAGCTTCCTTGTATGAGAATGGGGTTTAAATTGAAGGGGCTGATAGCACAGATTAGTTGCAGGGCAAGTGCGGCTACAGTAGTAGTTTACCACACATACGGAGTGAATGCTGCACTAAGGTATGGCAAGTTTATTTGAATGGCACAGTTGATACAGGACATTATTCTCCTTCTATGATTGTGCTGCAGAACGGAATGTTTTAAGAGATCATTTGTTCCTTCAAGTGCTTTTATTGCTATATCTACCTATCTCTCCACAGTATCTATCAGTAAACCGCCATAGTCTTATAATATCAGTGTCTCAAAATATCAGCACTTATAATGAATAAGCTTTAAGTTCAGCAGGGAACAAGATCAACGGCGACAGTGTAGAGGAGTGCTGATACTTGAAATGTCAAGTCTCCTGCCGAGCAGCACATATAACAACATAAGTTGTTTGGTCGACGGAAAGAAGGCTCACACTACAAAGACCAATCAACAAAATGTGCAAATCACACAACAGGATGTTGCTTTCAATGTGCTTGTCTCTGAATGAAAAGGGATATCACTGCATCTCTAACACATTCCAAATCAATTTGCACAAGGAGGAGTAGTTTTGACTGTGACAAGAACTTAACACTATGACAGAAATTTGAACGAGGATGTGAAAAAGTAATAGATTTGTCAATCGTCTGTCTCTCGTGTCCCAGAATGTGTTGTTGGCTGCTTCTCTATGACCTGCACCGATCTCCCGCCTTCACACACTGTCACATGTGATGCCAGGCTGCACGCAAGAGGACAAAACTTACTCTGGTTCAGTCTGAAAGAGATTTCAACATCAAATGTTTACTTGATGATCGTTTGTGCAGCTGTAGGTGAACTTAGGCTTCAGAATATGTATTCACTTGTAAACACAGAAAGTCCAGGAGAAAACACTAAACTAACTCACACAAAACTATGAACAAACCTATGGGCGTCAACTCTTTTCTACAAATGGGATAATATCAACTGCATTTAGCGTTCGGTTACAGCAGGCTTGCCACACATAGAGCTGATCTGTAACTTTCTTATGAGACAAAAGTATTTGAAAGTATGAGTATTGATTACAGCAAGTTATTTAAAGCAGAAGCTGGAGTTATTTTTTGATCTTTCCATTCTAATATCTATATATCAGCAAACTTCAGGCACAAACATGTAACTCCGCCCCCTCTGTCTAAAAGCTCCTGTCTCAGTCCTGAATTAGCATCATGTTGTTGTACTACTATGGCATCACACATAAAACGAAAGAAGTGCCCTGAAATTAGTTGTGGTCATTTCCAAAGTGAAAGAACGTTCTTCACCTCCCTCTGTTGGTTGTGCAGTGAGTTACAGGCTGATGGCATATTTTACCCTTTTTATTTGTTTTAGTCATGTAGCCTCCTTGCCAAAAAGATGAAGCTTGCAAGTGGAATTTGTCCTTCTTTATTCTCCATTTCCAGCGTAAGAGCTAAAATCACTACAATGTTATCCTTCTAATACATCGCCAAAATATAACTATACATTTTAGCTTTTTCACTTTTCCAGTCAGGAGCTAATAGTCACGTCTATTCACAAACATTTAAATACTTCATCGCAGGAAGTGAAATTGTCAAACTGGAAGAACTTCAAAAATGAAAGCCCATATTACAGGTTACATATGCACTTCTTAAGATATTATTTCACATTATAAAACATGGAATGACAATGTAAAAAGTCTCATAAGTTATCCAGAAGTATCGTATGTTATTTTTACACTTTTAATGACTGAAGTGAGTTTGTGAAAAGCAAACCTGCTCGTGGTTGTGTGGGTGAGAGCCGTGTCGGTCCATATTCAGCTAATGAGAGCACTTTTCCCTCTTGTAGAATGTCACATTTTTCTGCACAGTGTCTTTGTTACAACCACAGCATGGCAACAAACTGGCATCAAACCATCGACACTGAAAGAGACAGAGAGATCGAGATCACAGCATTGCACTGAGAATCACTACAGACAAACAGCAGACGCCTCGGCTGTATTATTTATGTAGGTTTAGTATCGTGGCGCCTCACACAGAAGAACCAAGATGAGCCGAGCGGGAGAAAGGGTCAAACACAGGAAGGAAAAACGCTGAATTTAACGGAAGTCGAGGAAATGAGGATGTGTTTAGATGTTTGTTAAAATAGCTTGTTAGGATGAGGCAGAGAAAGTGCAAAGGAGCTTTATCTGTATTACAGCGTTAGTGAAGATTGAGTTTACATTTAGACAATTTTCAACATTTGTTAGTTGGCGATTATATTAGACAATAAAATCCAACACTTTAAACATAATTACTTTATGTAGATCAAAGTAAATTAAATCAAAGGGTCATGGCTGTAGCTTTGGTTGTTGCTCCTATGCTATTTCATTTTAAGTTTTTGAGTAAATTGGTTGTAGAGTAACAGTTTCAATAACAGGTTTTTCAAAGTATGATTCTACCAATATAAAATAAGATAAAAGAAATTTAGATAAGATAGACTTTATGGATCTCACAATGGAGAAGTTACATGTCACATTTGGCATAGGATCACTAATACAAAGGAAATCTGCAAATATGTTAAAAAGTGAAAAGATATTCTCTTTCACACAAAATGTATTATTTACAAATGAAATTACAGTGACTGTGGCAGTGCGAGTTTTCAGTCCTATAGTGCAGGTCATTAAGTAAGTAATCTTTATTTATATACCGCCTTTTCACTGCACATTGGAGTCTCAAAGCGGTTTACAATTGTTATTTTTTTGGGAGTGGGGCCAGTACAGGAGGCACATGCCAGACCTATTGTACATATTTTTAGTGGTAGGGGAAACCGGAGCACCCGGAGGAAACCTACGCCGACACAGGGAGAACATGCAAACTCCACTCAGAAAGGCCCTGGTCCAACCGGGATTCAAACCCGGGACCTTCTTGCTGAGAGGCGAGAGTGCTATCCACTCAGCCACCGTGCCGCCACACATTAAGTGACTTATTGTACAGGCTGACAGCTGTGGGGATGTACAACCACGAGGTTGGTGCATGTTTATGAGTAGTATTTGTCTGATGGGTAAAAACTGTTTTAGACCTGGTTATGACAATTATTATTTGAGCGAAAACAAACATATACTGTATTCAGAGCTTATACTTAAAAAAACAAAAAAAAACAAAATTTAAATCTCAATGAGACGCATTCATTAGATCATCATTTATTAGATTTAATACACAATGGGTGAAAGTCAAAAGAAAAGACCCCGGGTATTGCTAGATTTGGGACATGTCTGGCCCAGTGCATTGTGGGTACCCCAGGATGGAAGGGTCTTTATAGTCCTCTCCACAGGCTTCGCTCTGCTTTTCAGCCCCGTCCCTTAAGCCTCTGCATTCGCTCTCCCTCCTCCACCGTTCCTCTTCCATTGCACTGCATGGATTTGCTCAAAATTGCTCTTTAGTTGTTTCCATTTTGGGGCGATGTGCAGAGAGGCCATGATTATTCATGACTGAGGTTCTGAGAGAGCGATAAAGAGGCGACTGCTGAGCTGGTGCCTTCAAGGTTCAGAGTGTGCAGCCCAAATACTCACATGTTGGCAGTGATCAAGCAGAGGAGCACATCAACTGGAAACAATTTCATGTTTTAGGTGTTTAGTTTCTCAAACTTTTGTTGTTTTAGTTGATTATTTGCACAGACAGTGGCATCCCTCCAGCACAAAAGTTCTATGTAAACAAGGGGAAGATTAAATTATCTCGATGAACAATATCAAGTGTCCAAACTTCTTTACTCTGCCCTTGATTTTTTACTTTTTTTGTTTTTGAAAATGTACGTCCTTTAAACGTTTTGTTGTATTATAGTTGTGTTTTTAATTATCTTAAAATGGTCTTTCTCATAAATCACTTTTGGGTTATCCACCAGACATGTGGAACCCAGTATGTGTAGTTCCCATAAGGTTAAAGTATACTTTATTAATAATAGTAATAGCAATACTTTTTTGATACAGCCTCTTAATGGGCACTCAATGTCACTCAAAGGGACAAAGTTAAAAACCTAAACAGTTAAAAGCATAAAGTTAAAAGTGAACAATGGAATGTAGAGTCACAGTTACTGTCACCATAATGCAATGTCACTATAGGCCTCTGCCACTATAGGCCTCTCACCAATTGTTCATGATTTTAGTGGAAGGAGAAAACATGGAGCACCTGGCTAACCACTCTGCCACACTAGTATCAATATTCCACCTGATACTAGTGCAATATTTATATGCATAATGCTTCATCCAACACCTTTTCAAACCTTGAACATATGTCTGATGATTTGTAAATTGTGTTTCCTGTGCAGGTTTGAAATAAATAATTCAATTCCAAAAAAATAAAAAATATTTTGCACTGTCCAAGGAGGTTTTTTCAAATTCTGTTTTGATCATACCAAGAGCACACTTTTTGGCTGTGGCTTACTTGTCCAGTTTCTCAGTTGCTAATTTTTTCACTGTAATATGAGCAACTAATCTGAGTTTATTGGGGAGCACTACTTACCTCACCTGCAACTTCAAACCTGATATTAATTGAAATTTTGTCTTAAGAAATTCTGTAAATAACTGCAACATTAATCTCGACCAACAAGCATACACACACATTCTTGCAATGATGTCTTCACAGATCAGACCTGTAAACGCCAAAACCCTGTATACACTGGAAGAAATGTATAGTATCTCCAGAAGACTCCCAGACTGAATATTAGCATATCTTTCAACTCAGACCTCTTGAAGCTACCTTGCACGCACCTCCCTTAGTATTCCTCATCTCTGGTTCCTTGGTGAACTAAAAACATTTCTATAAAAAAACACCGTACCAAAACACATCTGACCCACATATGTCATCCTGCTTATCAACCGTCAACAGTGAAGCACACTCACGTTTTCAATGCTCCTGCTTCTTTGTCTACCTGTCTATGTACGCCGTCTTGCACCTGAACCTCCTGAAGGGTGAAACTAAATCCTCTCTCTCTCAAAAGGTTTCCTAAATCTACACCATTCTCCATTATAGTCAGTCTCTGGACATTACCAGCTATCCTCAATGATATAGCCTCACTTGTGTGTGAACCATGCAGGTGCAAGTCCCTAAAATAACACGCTCCGGCTGCCATAACCTTGAGGATCGCCCTTGTGGTTTAGTTACCTCTGTAGAAATGGGAACACGACGCTGTCTGTTTAGTGGAGATAAAACTTGGAGGAGCGGGCTAACAGCATGTGGCGTGCTATTTCCAGTGGTTTGTGCATCTATGTATTCAGACAGTGAAATCTGTCAATTATTTCTATCAAAGTTACATCATGTTCATGCTTGTATGCAGTATGTGTCTTTTGTATTCTTACAGAGGTGTTTTGCCCATTCAAATTGTATGTCTATGTTTGTCAGTGTGAAAAGTAGGTCCAATTAGGTTCTATGTCCAGTGTGGGGGGGCATCTGTCAATGCTAGAGTGCCTAACTTTCAAACCAAAATATGTTATACTTGTTTAAAGAAAAAAATATGTTCTATCAGCTTTCATGCATGTATAATTGGCCTCTGTCACACCCAGAAAAATAAACAAGAGAGCTCTCCGCCTAAAGCGTCTCTTTGCTAAAAGTGTGAAAATTATAATGCTCTCATGTAAGATGAAGACAGCATTCTGTGGTCTGGTTTGTTCATAACATTTTACTTTTACAAAACTCTTTCTGTTGGGACATGTGTAATTTTATCTAAAACTAAATTCAGTATTGAGCAATAATCTATTTCAGGAGCAAACAAAAAACAGTAGGACACAGTTGTAATATGTAGCCTGTATTAGCGCAAACTCGAAGAAAATATCTATGAAATAAAAACATGTGTCATAAATTGATAATAAGTGTCTTCCCCACATTGCCTTTTCCTTGCTGGACACTTGAGCACGAGCACCATCTAGCGTCTGCGAGGCGTAGTTGCAACAAAGAGACAACCTTCTATTTTTAGGCTGCAGATGTGAAAACGTGATATGGGTCACTGATAATCGACAAAAGGCAACAATGGCAGAGAATCTATGTCGCGGGCAGGGTAAATGAGGACGCAGACTAAACGCGACCATATCTAATATAAGGTCACGCACCACCATGACAATGCTTGTGTAACGCGCATCCATGCAATCCCAGTGTATACAGAATACAGGGATATAATTTCAGTCGGTAGGTGGAGTCATGCATCAACAGAACAAAAACATGTATTCTCTCTTGTATGAACCCAAAAAATTGGATTGAGCTGCTCGTCTCTGCAGCGTGAGGCGCCCGGAGCGAGGTATTGCGCGCGTCATGTGATAAGCGCTTGTGGAGAGAGGCCAGCAGCAGCAGCAGCAGCACAGGCCGACTGCCTATCTCCCATGCCTGCACGCTGACAGTCAGAGAGCCCCTTTTTATCTCCAGCAACCAGGGGAGGGGGCGTATCCTTTCTCCCCCCCTTTTTTTCTTCTCTCTCCCCTTCGGCATCGCGCTCGCTGACACTTTGGTACACTACAACCTGCTCCAGACGACGCCCATTTGCCGTTTCGCACTCGCCATTCTTCCAGTTGTTTCTGGTCGCTTGTGCATCAGTCGCTCCCCAAAGAACGCACGGGAGCGCCAGGGCGAGGAAGAGGAGCCAAGAGGAGGGGAAGAGGAGAGGAAGAGGGGGTGTTATACAGCTTATTCCCGAAGAAGTCCCACACACACACACACACCAAAAAACACAAGGCTGTTTTGGGGGAAAAAGGAGGGAAGCAAATCGCGTCTGAGTAAGTCGTGATTTTTATTCTTGTGTGTTTTTACTTGACCCTTTTTACATAGCTGCAATGTTTTGATTGCGTTAAATGTCAAGTTTACACAATCCCTCCTGCGAAAATTGGAGGATGTTGTGGGAGTGGGATAAAAACAAGCCAGCAGCATCCGTGCGCAAGGGTACAGAGCGCGCCTCTAATATTTACATCCTACTGTATGCTCCCGATACGTTTAGATCACATATATGACATCTTGTTAAGGATATTTTGGGAAGGAAATGTGACAGAAATGTGCAGAGGCATGACACTAGGCCTGTTATATATAGGTTTCTGTGACACACTGTTTGGTACCCAGGCAAACAGGTGTAAAAGGACATGGTGTTTAATCAAAGAGGTTATTGATCTATTTGGCCACGTCGCGACACACTACAAGTCTGGCAGTGGTTTTGTTACATAGGTGCTTTTGGCCGTGGCTTCTGTGTACGTGAGGGATGCTGCTGCCCTGTGCTGAGGAGGGAGAGAGAAAGGGAGTGTTGTGATGTGAGCGCTCGGATCCAACATGGCGCGCTCTTGCTGATAAACCTTGCATGGCCATTACATACTCATGTCAGGAATTTGCACTGAACACAAAAAGAATCTTGAGGGTTTTGGAGGGGAAATCGGAGCGCTCGTATTGTGTCCAAGTCCTCCCCATTCTCTGCAGAAATAGCCATGGGTTTGTGATGATGTGAATGGGCTAACATTGTCTTATTTGGACCAGTTTCTCTTGATCACAGTGTAAAAAGCACGTATAAGTCACAACTGGACACACGCTGTTTTTGTTTGGCTTTGGACTATTGTTTTTCTGCTGGGAACAGATGCAACTCTTCTGGATAATTCCTTTGTTGACATGGCTGGTTAAGTTGTGGTGTCCATAAACTAGAAGCCTTGTTTTGTTTTTTTCCCCCATGATAAGTGCCACCTGTTGGATAACCAGATTTGTAGATTGTGTAGATATACTATATGTTCTGAATGGACTTGATTGTGAGGAGTCTTTAGATTTCAATGGTTTACAATTTATATTCTGGGTATACGCTGAGTTCACCTTCTTTAGTTTTAAGTATAGTATTGTAGACAACCTGATATGTGTGCCTGAAACCCCCAGAGCTGGGGTGTGATGCAGACCTGATTGTAGACTTTGCCAACCCCAGACCTCGGTGCCTTTTAGTCAACTTATCAAAAAAATTCATTATCTTGTACAGTCATATCTTCCAATTGGTCCAAAGAACGATTTCTATCATCGGTTCTTTTGCCCACCCTTTGAGGGAGCAGTTTGAACTTTTATCCTCAGGACGACGCTATAGGGCTCCTGGGTGTAGGACAAAACGGTTGGGAACTACTTTTATTACAACAGCTGTGAAGCACCTTAACAGCACACAGCACTTTGTTCAAACCTTTTCCCTTTACAGCATATTTGCACTTATAATTAGCGTTGTGACAATCTCTCTTGTTTTCTTCAAGGTTGTGATTTTACTGTATCTGCCTGTTTTTAGATGAATGTTAGCTGCAAAACCAATTTCCCCCAGTGGGACAACAAAAATAACTTGAACTTTAATTCATTCAAACTATCTATTTCAATTCATGATAGATTCAACTCTTGCAAGTGATGGTATCCATACATGCACACATTGTTTGCCAAAGTTCAACATGTGTCCAGTGTTGTATGTGTGAGGCACAGTCCACTTGGCCCCCTGAACATAGTGCTAATGCAGGACTATATCCGGTGTGGAGCTCTGTGTTGTGTCAGCAGCTCACGGTGGAGCTGACAGCCCTTGTCCGTTTGGTCCAATCACAGCGCGGCGTTACTTACTCTGGACAGTGGACCGTGAGTCTGTGTGTGTTTTAGTGTCAGGACAATTGTGAGGAAACAAAAAGAGGCTAAGGTGCTGAGTGTGTCCTGGTTTGACTTTGTGAACTCTGGGCTTTAACTGTGAAGATACAATGCAAAAGAAGTGAGTAAGTAGATCATGTTTATTTATATAGCGCATTTCACAGACCAAGGTCACACAAAGCGCTTTATGATGTTTGGTGTATCAGTATATTTATATTTACTCCACACACGGTGATGACAGAAGTGAGACGCTGAGTACCTGGCACATTGAAGTGCTACAAGTGCTTGACAAAAAGGATACCGGATGTGTCATTATGTTGTCTACTGTATATTTCCAGAACCTACACAGTACAAGGAGGAAAAAGTTTCCGTGTATAAAACAATATGTTCTTATTTTGAACCCTTTTCTTGAATTCTGTTTCGGAACCATGAACAGGGCAGATGAGCGTTGACCTTGGGGAGGAGTATACCTAGTTATTTCTGTTGGCAAGCCTCGTGAAAGAAAGATTTGGACATTTTAAAAGTAGATGACACACATTCAAAAGTGTTTTATAGTTTATCTGCTCAACTATTGATTCCCCCCTGCTTTGACTCGTCACCGGTGTGGAATGAGTAACAGGTAAATGAGGAAAATTAGTGAATGTCCGATTTTGGCTCTTGATCTGTGACCTGTCAGCCTCCTCTGGACTGATGTATCAATTCAATTCAATTCAATTTAATATATTCTTGTATAGCCCTAAATCATAGCAGTAGTTATCTCGGAAGACTTTACACATACGTTGAATTCGCCAACACTGTCCTTTTAGTCAGAGCTCACAAGACTCTTTAACAGACCCTAATGCATATCGGCAAGGAAAAACTCTTTAAGTAATCATTATTATTAAAAGCACAAAGGTTTGACTCACAGCACTGTTAAATCAGAATGCATTGTAGCTGCCTTTATCCCAATATGTAAATTCCTTGGCTGAGCATCTGTGAGGTCGCACATATTTGACATTGTGGGAGTTAACGGCAGCTCCTTCGTTGCATGTGATAACGCTACCAGCAATATTACACAACCTACTTTTTGGCAGTTTAACCGGTTTGTTCAGAATCACTACAGTCGTGAACAAAAAAACCACAACATAGGATCTGATTTTTGGCCCCAAGCGACCGCCCTTACTCTGATGGATGCGGACAATTACCCCTGTTGCCCTCGCCACTATTAAGAAGCCATCTCTGCGGAGGTGGTGGCTACAACATCTGATTGTGACAAAGTGCAGGAAATGAGAGTGGAGCTCAGAGTTTCAATGAAATGTTGGGTCACAAACAAATGTCATCCTAACATTTAAAACATTTAAAACACATTGTAGCGCCACATACAACAGTTTGTACACAGTAGCTTTGTTCCATTAACTGATACTACTATCTTGATAACATTCTGATGATATTCATGCTAGTTTAACAGTCTTACAGTGGCTTTTTATTTAGCTACAAGGAACAGCAGGTGCATTAAGCAGAGAGATAAATGGCAGTTAATGTGCCTGAATAATCAAATGATCTACTTTGTTTTGATGCTCTTTTTTCCCAACTGAATCATCATTTGAGTCGTTCGGCCTCTTGTTGCCGTCCCCTCCTCCACCCTTGACAAAGATTAGGCAGAAGAGGATTTGATTGTTTTTTGAAGATAAACTGTGTTTTTTGATCATGTTTTTAGTCAGTTTAATCTCCAAGGGGAAATGTCTTAAGAGCAGCTGCAGCTCATATGACCATCACCAGTGGAGTTACAAGAATCATAATAAAAGCACTATTCACAAGAGACTGAACAAACATCCATCTATGAGCACTGTATGTGCATACACTGCCACATGTGAGGGTCAAGCAAAATATGCTGCTTTAGACAAATAAATAGTCAAACATTCATTAGATATAAGCTAACTGATTACTTTGAGTGACTGTCTCTCTCTCTCTTTTGTCTTTCACTCACTGTCTCTCTCTCTCTGGTCTCTCTCTCTCTCTCTCTCTGGTCTTTCTGGTCTCTCTGTGCGGGACCACTACCACAATTGTAACAATGGCCATGACTTAAAATGATAAAATGGTAAATCTTACATCAGTGCGAGTGAGAAATGTGTCCTGAATATTTGACGCATCCTTCCCATCGTTGAATACTTGATAAACTAGAAAATCACTTGTAGAGTGCAGACCTAGGAGGCAAAGTTGTAAATGTAATCTCATTGTGAAGGAATATAAGGATCCAACATGAAAATGGCCAAAATATCATGAATGCAAAAAAAATTCTATAACATTTCTATTTTTGAATATTGTGATTTTGTTATTGAGATATAAACAAATGTCCGGCTTACAGTATATTTCCCATTTGTCGGCTTACAAAAACCTTCAGACTACCGCCAAGACAGCAGCTACATGTACGTTTTAGAAGCTGCTGTGGTTATGCAAAGTAAGTGTTATTTTCCTCACCAAAAAAAAAAAAAGCATAGTCCAAAAGGGTTTGATGAAATTGCTGCGATCCAAAGTTTTGGACAGGAGAGAAAGCTTTGAGAAACACAATGGCCATAATAAGGACGGCCCTTAGAGCCTTAAGTGGACATTGGCCCGCTGCCATGAGGGAGGCACATATTCTCTTAATGCATGTGCACAGTGAGAGTATAATGCACCTCCTCATATCCGGCCGCGAGGAGCAGAGCAGGACGGAGGTGATGGGCCCAAATGGACACAAGGTTCAAGCTGCTGATAGGAGAAATATGAAGCTAAAGTAACTACACTGCTTTGGTCAGAAGATGCAAACTCAGGTGAAGGAAGAGATAGTTCCTTCTGTGGTTATTTTAAAGACCAAAATGGGCTGACTTTTGCACATCTGTAAAGCTCTCAATATTATATTTGTTTCAGTATAATTGTACTTTAATTAGATCATTTTCCTGAAACAACATCAATGTGAAATGCATATGTTTATTGATGGAGCTACAGGGCTGCACAGACTGGACAAAACAATAAACGCTAACACTTCAACAAATGTCCAAAATAAAAAATAAATAATAAAATTGTTACAAATGGTGGATCAATATGCTGCCATAATTGTGCTTTTTATCTAGAGGCCATTGGTAATTATATGTCAACCTCAATGTGCTTTAAAAAGTACAACATTTGGGTA